GGGGGAGGGTCCATATTATGAGTAGAGGGTGTAGATGCGTGCCACATGGCACAAATTCGTCGTCCACGTGATAGTAAGGAAGGGGCTACCAACAGTGGGACTCACGCAGCCAGGGAGGCCATGCCCTACCGGTGCGTAGGGCATGGGTGCGTTGGGTGCGCATAGTGCCGAGTGCGGGCACTTGTATGCCCGCGCGTGCACACAATGTCATGCGCGTGCGTTTCTGTGTGTGTGGGTGCAAGCACGCTGGCTCGCAACAGTAGGAGTTTTCTTGCACGTCCAAGAATTTTTCCTCACCCGAGAATTTTTTCTCCATATTTTGTTTTTCGATTTCTCATTGTTTTTCTCTCTTTCTATCTTGAAAATATTTCAAAAATATTATGTACATTTATTTTAAAATTTTCTAAAACACGAGTTAGGTTTTTTTTTTTAAAAAAAATAGATATTATAAAAATGCACGTTAAAATATTGAATAACTTAAATGGCCTTAAGGCCCAAATAGAGTTTTCAACACCATATTTAAGTGTAGAGACCTCGGGGTCTTAGAGTCTGTACTCTATTTCCTTTTCCCTTTACTTTATTTTTGATTTATTATTCATTATAACTTGATACCATATCCTATGTCACATTTCATATATAGACTTAAGGATTTATTCACAAAATAAATACTTTATTTTCATTAGTTCATATTATCACTATCACTTTTAAGAACTTTGATTATAAAGAGTAAACTGTACTATTCTTCGTACATTCTATAAAAGTTGAAAACTTTTGCATAAAAAGTTTAAAAATTTTAAAAACCTAATTCACCATCCTCTTGAACACAAAATATGTACAGGAGGCAGGCAAGCCTTTTATCATTATCTCATCACAGGGTAAATATGGTAGAAATAGAGGAGGTGTAGAGACGAAGGGACCTAAACATGTAGACTTAAACACAAAATATTTTCATCTCCAAACAACCATGAGGAAGAGATGACACACTGTAAAGCATTCAGATCGTCAGTCGACCACTAACTAGCGTGATATCACCGAGTAATTTCTTAATCACTTCAGGGAGACATTTAAATAATGTTGTTCTATCGTTTTTCCTTTTTTTTTATTTTTTCTGATGATCCAAATGGTTTCTTCACTCAACATATTTCCAATGAAGATGACAGAATTCGTAGCAGAAGTACCAGATGAAAAAAAGAAATACTTGAAGCCTTAAAAACTATTGGAGCACATAAATCTCCAAGGCCAAGCGTTTTGGATAAGGTGATAAGCAATTTCTTAAAAAGAGATGCATACAATTATGAGTTGCAGTAATAATAATAATAATAATAAGTAGAATTAGGTTACACTTGAAAGAGAAGAAGGGAATTATTACACACAAATTAAAAACCAAGAAAAAAAAAAAAAAAAAAAAAAGGGGAAATTAGATCTTGCCACGTGGGCCCTTCTTGGGAGGAAGTTGTGGGCCCTTCTTGATAGGTAGGACATCTCCAGTAGCATTGGCGCTTACGTAAGCAAGAACTGAACCTCCTCCCAGTAACAAGAACTTGAGTAATAATCCTCTTTTGGTGAATGGTGCAGCAAATGTCTCAAAGAATTTGCTCTGCGTTTAACAAATCAAAATTATTCTCATTAATTATTAATCTTTTTTTATTATATCTTAAAACCATAACAATTTGTAAAAATAATCATACAATTAATTCAATATATATATATATATATATTTTTTTAAAAAATTATTTTAGTTAAATATGCATATACTTGAAAGGGAAGAGAATTACCTTTTTTATAAAAAAAAAAAAAAAAAAAAAAAAAAAAATTTATTCAGTCATCAATAAAAAAAAATTTTATTAAATGATAATATACACACATCATTTATAACATACTACTTATTATTGTTTGAAACGTACCTGAAAAGGGTTATAAGGTGAAGGTGCATCGGATCCGTACAAATCCCACTGCCCAGTAGTGTTCCCCAAATCCTCCAAATCAAAGTATACACTCTTGTCACCGTACTTTGCCACTACGGCACCCTTTCTACCAAAATCAACCCCCAACATAATCAGATTTACATATACATATACATATACATATATATACTGTAAAGTCAACCGGAGGGTTATGTTTAGAACCTGAAGCTTTTGGGTCTGAAACTCTGGCTAGCTGGCTTGACATGGAGCTTGGTTCCTGCAAGTGAGCTGCCACCAAGGCCTTTAATGGTGGCTGGTTGAACAGCAGCTACGGTTGCCAGAGATGCCATGAGTAAACTTTTCCTGTGTTGGTCTCACTACTGGTTTAGTCTGTTTTTGAGTACAGATTTGTAGGGCGTCACATATTCTTGGTAAGTGTTGGCCTAGAATGGATCTTGAAGGACACGTGGCAATCTGGGCTTTCTTTACAGAAATATGGTGTTCCATTTAGGAGATGACACGTGGACAATGGCTAGATAAACCCTATCCTTTTAATGATATTCACTACAACCTTTATAATAAATGTTTTTATTTTCTCCAAAATTATACACCATCATAAAATAATTCTACAATTTCTTTTGTATTTTCAGAACCGAAATTTAAATTATATGTGAATTCTCTTTCATTTTCATTTAAGGTTATTATCTAAGAAAGAGGATATTCGTAATGTTATATACATATATATATATATATATATATATATATTTCAATTATTTCTGTAGTTTATTTAATATTTATGATAACTTTATCAATCATTTTTCAGATAATTTCTCTTTCTATATAAAGTTGTGAAATTTATATCATACTGCAAATTTTATATGTTATTATTAAGAAATCTATTATAATTGATACACATATATTACTTTGTTAATAAAATATATAAATTTTCACTTAAAAATATTAAATATAATTTTAACTTTTGTATGCATGTTATATTAAAGAAATTATTTTACGTAATGTGATATATTTTTTTCCATTTTTACTAAAAAATATTGGTTTATTAATAAAATTCTCATAATTAATAATAATAGTAATAATAATAATGAAGTATGCACATAAGCATCATAAGAAATTATTTATTATTATACAAAATAATTCTTCGCTATATTTAACAATCTTATATTGTTTTTTTTTTTTTACTCAAACAAATAAGTTTATTTGTTTTTATATTTATCTTACGAATACATTTTTTTGGACAACTAAATTATGGTTAAATTTTTTTACACCAAGTATGGGCATAGATATATGTTCTCATTGTAGGCAGTTGTTTGACCATAATTTTTCTATAGATCACAACTTTTTAACTTTTTATAAAATTTTTAAAAAATATATATCAAAATGAAGCTAGCTACATATTTTAAAGCTGATTACATAAGATGTTATGAGTGCAAAAATAACTAGATTCATGTCCTATGATCTATGCAAAATATTTTTATAATTATATAAAGATAATATAAATATTATTTTATATAAATAAAAATGATATAGAAATAAAAAAGTTTCTGATGAAAATGAAAAAAAATATATATCATACTTTAAATTTTCATGAAAATTTTGCATAATCAATAAGTTGTAAGAAGACAATAAATTATCAAAATTTATAAAATGCATATTTATAGAGTTTATAATCAATTAAATTGATCACATTGTAATATTATAACACTTACATTCTATTTTTATGTTAAAATTATTCAAGTAGATAACTAGTATATATTATCACATTAAATAGATCGATAAATATTATCTATATTATCATATTAGTTTTATTTTAATATATTTGTAACGACTCCAGAAATTTTAAAGGAAATAAATTATAAATTTAGTGCAAAAACGAAATAAATAGTTAGGATTTACATTCTTTACATAATGACTTAAAGTACCAAGTAAGGTTACGAGAATGACCATTTTAAAAAAAATACGAGAAATTAAAAAAATAACCAGAAAATAAATAAAATTGGCATCCTACCCGCAATCCTCTTGTGGATCGGACTCTAAATCCTGCTCATCTTGATCTAAAATGATTAACAAAGGAATGAGGTACACTAGCCCAACAATAATATTACGTTACTCAGCGACACAAAAATGAAGGTTGGTAAAAATAATAAAAATAACTAATGGGGCTCTTAATTTAGCAAAATCATTTATCATAAATAAAATCATTTACCGTCTACTTACCGTAACGAGATTTACAAAGATAACTTGTAGAGACAATAACATAACACATCTCATGATTTCATATGCAATTGATTAGAACAACAGTTTCCTCTTTTTATCAGCCTACTGGTATGCATGGTGGTTCGTAGAGATGTCTCCACAATGCGTGAACTCTTTCCTTTAACATTTTTAATTAATGGGTCGTCCCCATACCCCATCCGATATGACCACCAAATTACTAAACCTTAATACCCCGTCCGGTATGAAGATGAAACAGGCCGTCTCAATACCTTATTCGGTATGAGCGCTAAATTACCAAGTCTCGATACCTTGTCCGATATGAGGCAACGTTCACGGTAGGGTTCCCTATGCATCCGATCCGTCCACCATCTTCCAAGATATCCAATAAGGCTGTCGTTTCATTATTCACTTAATCACATAATTTTTCATTTACCTTTACTCTCCAGTTTTCTAATTTAACTGTAATCACATAAAACAAACAATACATGCATTCAAAACTATAAAATTGATCAATTAGATATTATCATGTATTCAAACTGTAAAATCAATCAATAGAATCAACAGTGAATAATTTTTGGTTCTGCCTCCATTAGTAACCCATAATTAATTATGGATATTTTCTGAATTGTACAAAACACCATATTATTGTTAATTTGACTTCAATTCTATAACAGAGAATAGGGTGAGGGATTCTTACTTAAATTGATGTCCGAAATGCTAAACTTATTGATTGCGCCTATTGGCGGTTTCTGGGTTCCCTAGATTTTTCTTCGGTGATTAAAACGTGCTACAAGTACCTATAAATTTCCTAAAAAATTCAAAATCAGTGTTAGGACCCCTTTTTGGCCAATTCCAGAATTCTGGCATGCGGCTCCGCCGTGCTCCAGTGACGGTGTTACCGCTCGCGGAGGCGATTTGCCTCGAATCGACTATTTTTGGCCCAATTCAGCCAATTTTACAACAATTTATGCGAGAAAACACATTAAGGGTTGGCAAAAAAAAATAAAAAATCGAAAATCACCTGCAACGGGATTCTCCGGTGTGATGGCTCTGTCGGCTCACCTTTGCAGTTGGGTGTTTTACTTCTATCAACCTGTAGATAAGGAAACGGTGATTACAATGGTAGAAGAATTACGCATAATGAGAATCGGGAAGGGCCTCGTCGGAGGCGATTTTTGTAATTTTCCGTGGCAGCGCTGCCGGACTTTACCCGCAGTTTTCAACCAATCTGTCAGTCTTTTTGTTCCAATTTGGCCATGAGGGTGTTTAAAATTGAATTCTGAACAAAGAAAATTTTTTTTACCTCTTTTGGTGGTCGGAAGTGGCTCCAGTGTGACGGCAGGTAGTGGTGGCTTCCCTTCCTGACAGCTAGGTCTTTTTCTCCGGCGAGGGTGTCTAGCGGCTAGGGTTAGGGTTTGGTGTGAAGAAGGTTATTTATATCCGTCCCCTTTTAATCTGAGCAATCCATCGTATTTGATCTGTACCGTCCGATCGCGATCAAATAAAAAGTGGATCTGAACCGTTGATCGCGTTTAAATCTAATCATCCGATCGTGCCTGGGGAGGGAACCATCCTGGCTGTCCGTGCGCACGGGAACAGATATGAGCCGTTCGATTGCGGGCACGCAGATCGCTCGTGTGGCCTCTTGCATGGCACCGCATTAGCGTCCCTTACCACGCGGCGCATTCTGGTTCGTCGGGGCTGCTGACTGGACATCTTACATGACACAACTTTTTAAAATTACGTTTTGACCTCCAGTTTCTTATTTTTCTTTCAAAAATACTCCCAGAACCTAAACTTTCATCACTTTTCCCCAAAATTATTTTCTATTTCATCATTCACCTATTTTTCTTTATTTTTACATTAAATTAAAATTCAAAAATTAAAAAATATATTTATAAATTAATTTTAAATTATATTAAAATTAATTTGGCATTGCAACTCTCCCCCCTTAAAAGAAATTTGGTCCCTCAAATTTGTCTTTCTCTCACTCAATTAAAAAGTTGGAGATATTGGGCTCTAAAGTTCGATTCTAGCTCCCATGTGGTCTCGTCCGGTGTGTGATTTTGCCATAAGACCTTAACAAAAGAAATTTTTCTGTTGCGGAGTACTCTGCTCTTTCGGTCTACGATGCTGACTGGTACTTTCTCGTAGGACAAATTCTTCTAGAGGAAAAGAGGCTCGTGGGCTAAGACGTGAGAGGGGTCTGGATTGTACTTACGTAGCATGGACACATGAAACACATTATGGACCCTGAAAAGTTCTCGAGGCAGTGCTAGTCTATAGGCAATGGTATCAATTCTGTTTAAGATTTTAAATGGCCGAATAAACCAGGGATTTAACTTTTTCCTCTTGCCAAACCTACAAATTTTCTTGAAAGGAGTGACCTTAAAGAACACCTGATTGCCTTTCTCAATTTTCAAATCTCTCCTGCGGGTATCCGTATAACTCTTCTGTCTGTTCTGAGCCGTCTGAATGTTTTTCCTTATCTTAACTATTTGGCTGTAGTCTCCTGTACGATATCTGGCCCGAACAATTTTCTATCACCCACTTCTTCCCAACATATCAACGATCTGCATGGGCGGCCATACAATGCCTCGTACGGAACTATGCCAATACTTTCTTGGTAGTTGTTGTTGTAGGAAAATTCTGTCAGGGGTAGATGGTCATCCCAATGGTCCTCGAAGTTAAGAACACAAGCTCGGAGCATATCCTTGAACATGCGGATCGTCCTTTTTGACTGTCCATCGGTCTAAGGGTGGAATACAGTATTAAGGGACATTTTCGTTGCCATGGCTTGCTGAAAGTTAGACCAGAATCGAGAAGTGAACCTGGGATCCCTGTCGGACACTACTATCACTAGTACCTCATGTAATATGACAATCTTCGGATATACATTATTGCTAACTTGTTCAAGGGGTCAGTCATCTTGATGGCCAAAAAGTGGAAAGACTTGGTAAGGCGGTCAACAATTATCCAAATGATATCATGTCCTGAGTGTGCCCTAGGCAATCCTGTTACGAAATCCATGGTGATATGTTCCCATTTCCACTCCGAAATTGGTAATAGCTAAAGTAGCCCACTTGGGGATTGATGTTCTGCCTTGAACTGCTGACATACCAAACACTTAGAAATAAAGTCAGTCACATCTCTTTTCATCCTGTTTCACCAAAATCAGAG